CTTAAATCTTTTATTAAATCTTTTATTTTTTAAATTTTTCTTAAATCTTTTATATGTCACACAATTCGATTAAGAATTCTCTTGATCGGTCCAAACAAAATAATCAATACATCTGATTTTATAAATTCTTAAACATATTTAGTATAAACGTCCACCAAATCAATGTGATCGACTTGGACTAGAGGAATATAACAAACTAAGAAAATCATTCAATGAATATATGGAATTAATTGAAAAGTGCCCTTGTGGTAGAGAACCCCGCCCTCCATCCATAGTTAACATAAATAAAATTAATAACGTCGATATAAAATTTCAGACTGATGACCGATTAATTATACCTCCTGGAGCTAAAGGTAAACGAAGTATCAGAAATAAGTCGTTATTAGGAACACGTGATGCTAATGGATTGATTTACGGTTGTGAAAATTCTGTTAATCTTGGCTTTGATGACATTTTGACGCATCCAGAGGACATAGCATTAAGGATAAAAAATCAGCGTGAATGTAAGTTTCAATTAATTTGTGACCTTCTACACAGCAACATAAAATAGGCAGAAAGTGCAAGCGGAAACAAGCTATATAGAATGAAAATCCCCATAATATCCTTCCTAATTGACATCTATGGAGTTGCTTTAGTATATTCGGTACTAGTGATGCTCGGGAGAAGAAAAAACCCGGGAATCGGGAAACGGGAGTCGGGTCGGGAAATGACCTCGGGAGTCGGGATCGGGAGTCGGGAATTACCAATAAAAAAAATTTTGGCGCCTTCGGCGCCAAAAATTCTGATTTTTTTGCATCGCAAGCGAAAATATTGAGATTTTGTAGGGAAATAAGTCAGATTTCTTCCATTTTTAGCGCTGCAGGCAAAAATTTTGAGAATTTTGGAGGTGAAAAATAATCCTAAATTTAAATTGTTCTCACGAGAAAGAAAAACGAAAAATAATGAGATTAATCATCTTCATCGTCCCAGACTCTCGGATAAGGTTATCGGATAGTCGGATAGTCTTTTCGGATATCCAAATCCGATATCCGAACCGAAAATTTAGGATACTCGTGTCCGAAACAGAAGTTTATATTTTAAAAATTTATGACTGTGGCACTGAAAATTTGAGTCCATTTGAGTGAAATAGAGGAAAAGAGAGAGAATAATTTTAAAATCAAAACTAAAAAAGTTAAAAACATTTATTTGGAAGGAAAAACTAATTAACTCACATTCACCAATCCTGGATTCAAACCCATCCCCATAAAATATCAAAGTGAGTAAAGTCACACAACTCAACCACTTAACCATCGACAAGCAATAAGTAATTATTGTAGAGAGAAAATAAATATTTTCCCCTTTACTTTTTTTTTTATTTTTCCCTTTATTTTTCCCTTTCAAAAATAAAATTTAATCAAAAAAATCCATTCTTAGGGGTGTAAAAATTTCCCGACTTAGTCGGGAATTGACACCGGGAGTCGAGATCGGGATCGGGAGGCCAAAAACTCAGGAAATTTTCCCGAGTCGGGAGTCGGGATCGGGATACCCGAGCATCACTATTCGGTACTTTTCGGTTATGATGTTACACATTTACAAATTTTAAAAAGTCTCAAAATGGTCAATATATCAAATGAGCTATCATTCAAAAAATGGAATTTTTCACCCCAAAAATGAGCTTACTACTCCCTATGGTTTTTGACCATTTCGAGCCCTATATCTCGGTCCACAAGAATCTCTGTGAAAAACAGATTGGTACCGGTCGACTCAGCACCTTATTCTACCCTATATATATATGATATATTGACCATTTTGAGACTTTTAAAATTTGTAAATGTTAACCTCATAACCGAAAAGTACCGTATATTCCATATGAGATCGAAACTCGAAGTATATATCTTTTTCGGGCCTTAGTAAACTAAAATTTTTGCCGTTTAGGCGTCGTTTTTGTCCGATTTTGGCGTTCTGGCGTTTGGCGTGATTTGAAAATTTGAAAAATTGGCGTTTAGCGCGCCACGCGAAAATTCTGGCGCACATCCCTGAGTCGAAGGACACAAAAATCAACGAAATCCTCATATGGCCGAGTTACAGACTCTCGAAATTTGAAAATTTTAGGGTCAAAAAAGCGAAAATGCGAATAACTCTAAGAGTTGAGTCAATCACATGCACGCGAAAAAAATAGAGTGCAAAAGAAAAGTAGTATATAGTAGAGACCGGCGCTGGACGGGATCCCGACGGGATTTTCCGGGATCCCGAAATCCCGGATTTTTTTGATTTTTGGGATCATTCGGGATCCGGGATTTATCCCTCAGAATCCCGTCCCGGCATCGGTCAGGAAAAAAAATCCCGACCATGGATCCCGAAAATTTTTTTATAATTTTCGGGATTTTAAATTTTCGTGATTTTCGGAAGACTTTTGGCTTAAGGATCCTCCAAATTTCTAAAAATTTTCGCCTGTGGCGCAGAAAAAGGAAGAAATTTTGCCTCTTGGCCTTCGAAATTTCTCAAAATTTTCGCCTGCGGCGCTGAAAAGGAAGACTTATGTATATATCGGAGGATTCGAATGGAGTTAGGTGGATTTTAGTTATATCCGGATATTTCTAAGGATGTAAGGAAATAGCGATGTATTTGGACTTCTGAAACTTGGGTGTTCCCACGTGGCCTTCATAAATTCTCAAAATTTAAGCCAGCGGCGCAAAAAGAGGGATAGAAAGGGGGATTTAAAAAAACCATTTTAATTATAAAAAATTATTGATATTTTCACAAATTTAATTGTATTTACATATAAATTGCTGTATTTTGATGGACTTATTTACTATAAAAAGTTTAAATTTTTTATTTTGAAAAAAATCCCGAAAATTATGTCGGGATTTTTGAAATTCGGGATTTTTTCGGGATTTATCCCTCGGGATCCCGTCCCGGCATCGGTTGAGAAAAAAATCCCGACCCGGGATCTCGGAAGTGCGATTTTGCCGGTCTCTAGTATATAGTAGCCAGTTAGTTAGATTTTATAGTGACCAGTTAAAACAATTTTGTTTTTAGAAATTGTTTTAACTGGCTACTATATACTACTAAGAAAAAGAGGACGAAGTTTTATTTTCTTCAAAAAATAAAACTTTTTTTAAATGAATAATTATCCATTTAAAGGTTGTAAAGGAAACGCCAAAGGACAATCTCGTCGTAAACGACAAATACCATATGGCACAAACAACTTGTGGAAAAATCCTTTGTTTTATACTTTTTCTGATGATAAAAGTTATAAATTAAAAAATATTTTAATCAAATTTTTAAGGAGAATGGATGGATAATATTAAAGAAGCACTAAATGTTTTCCGGTAATCATTTAATTTTAAATTCTAAAAAGTTCATGTATCCCTCTGAAAAGAAAGTAAAAAATGCTTTTACCTGTCTCACCTTTCTCTTTTTTTCCTTCTCACGCCTACCATCCTTTCCTTTTACCTTTGTTTCACCGGATTTTAGAGGTGTAGCCGGAGGCGTGAGAATTGAAAAACCTTGGCTACGGCTCTGGGCATTGCAAAACAGTAGTCAGGCTTTGGGGCTTTCAAAATTTTACATTCCCCCATTTTGAACCTACATGTAAGGGTAAATATCCAGCCTGCAATCCATATCTCCAGAAAAGGTATTCTGCAAAATTGCATTTTTTCTGCATTCATTTAACTCTTTCCCATAATTTTCCTCAGATAATCAAATGATAGGTTGACAGTTTGGCGAGAATAATAAAGGAGTAAAAAATTATTAAATTAAATTTTTATTAATATTTAAGCTTCTTATAGTTTTAAAAATTTAAGTTTAATTCAATACACATATTATTAAATTAAAAATTTTAGTTTGAACAATTGGATAACTTTCATTCATTTAAATTTTGAAAACTATAATAAAACTTAAATATTAATCAAAATTTAATTAATTTTTCTTACTCCTTTATTGTTGACTGCAGCAAAAAATTTTTGCTGCTTTTGCAGAAGACCTGTTGCGGACATATGGATTGCAAGCTTGACATTTACCCTGACATACATATAAATTCAAATTTTCTTGCCAATTTAGAAAATATACATGTTTACAATTTAAAGAAGTCAGTACTAATCATGATTTTAAATTTATCTTTGAGTGGAATAGCTGTTCAGCATCAGTTGGATATCATAATAAACCTGCTGATATTAATGTTCCATGGGATGGTTGTGCATCGGTGATATCATTATTTTATATGATTTTAATTTGAAGCGAGTCGAACGACACCTAAGCAGATTTCTACTCCAAATAACAAAAACCTACGCGACTTCTTCACGATTTTCAAAAGTTTTTTTTCACATTTTCACCTTTTTAGTAGAAAATTTCGCATTTTGTTCTTCGTATTTTATTTTTTGATTTTACTTATCCCTGCTACAGAGGTTCAAAATTATTCACAAATAAAATATGCTTTAGTGTCTTACCTTCCATTGTTCATCTTTTTGGATTGTGAAACCAAATAACCTGCATATATAATCATTAAATTTAATTTTTAAGGTTGGAACCATAATTCACGAAGTTATGCACACTTTGGGCTTTGGGCATGAACAAATACGTGGGGATCGTAATCAATCTGCTTGGATTTACCATGACAACATTAAAAAAGTATGTTGAGCTTTTGATATACAATATTAATGAGTGTAGGTTCTAAAATCCAAAGGTATAAGGCTCGAAAAATTCACTGCCAGCCTTAGGATAAATGTCATCGGAAAAAGCGTATTATTTATAAGAGAGAAAAAAAGTTTACCAACTTTTTCTATACAATAATTATTAAATTTAATTTGCAAATTAAGAATCATACGCATAATTTCGAATTGCTTAAAACATTCAATTTTGGAATGCCTTATGATTTTGGATCAATAATGCACTACAGTGCAAAGCACTTTCAAATTGACGAGAAGTATGTATATTAAACTATAATCGGAAATTATGTATAATATAAAGAATTATTTAGTAAATATACAATTGTTGCCCTGAAACATGCTTATCAAAATACAATGGGACAGCGAGTTGAACCCTCATTCAAAGATGTTAAACTTATCAACAGACTTTACTGTAATAAAAATTAATTTTAAAAGATACAATTTTTAGTTTAAATTTAAAATGTCGTTAATTCCCTCTAAAATTAAGTATAACAAGTTTTGACAACTTATTTACTTTAAATTTTAAGAGTAGCACAAAGTTAATAAAAATCCAATGTCTTTTCAGGTACTCGAGATTATCCATATACATATACATTATCTAAATCAATAGATTTGGGATGTGATGTAAAAGGATATCAATTAAATAAGGGTAAATGTAAGAATGGTGGGTATCCAGACCCATTAAAAAAGTGTAAATGTCTATGTCCTAGAGGATATGGTGGAGATGATTGTACTGAATATGAATGTAATTTAGATACCTATTTTGAATGAAAACGAAAATAAAAATTTTTTAGATGACAACTGCAGGGTTATAAAATTAACTGCAAAAGTTAAAAAACAATATATCTCTACTTTTACATCTTCTACACTTGCTTTACAATACATCATTGGAAGGGGAAAATGCTTTTTCGCCATTAATGTGGAAAAATAAATATTACAGTAGTTTACTTAATTTAAATTTTTAGTTAGAAAAAGCCGATGATAAAATCAAAGCAAAACGTATAACAATAAAAATTGAAAGATTGGAAGGTTTTGACTGTAAACACCTCTGTGAAAATAATTATATAGAAATCAAATATCTCAGAGATAAATCAGCAACTGGTATGGATTTTGCATTTAAGAATAATTTAAAAATATTTTTAGGAGCTAGAATTTGTTGTATTAATTATGCCAGAATTCTAAGTATTAGTTCTGAAGAAGATACTGAAATATTAATAATGAGAAAGGGATATATTGGTGAATATGACATTAGTTACAAAGCTGGTAAATTATTTATTTTATAGTAAAGGCTTGAAAAATAAATTAATTTTTTACTACGGCAAAATACTCCAAAAATTTTGCCGTTTTTGAGAAAAACAATCGAACCTTGTTTTTGAATTTGATCAACTGGGAGCTGAAGAACAATTTTTTATATCTTTGATATCAGTTTTAGATGAGATTCGTTTCTATTATTTAGTGATCAAAATTCCAGTGACGAAAATTCCGTACAGCAACAAAATCATGTCATACAAACGCATTTTTCTCGAGATATACCATTAAAAAATTTTGGCAGTGTAGATAAACTTTTTCAACCCAGTGTATACATTTTCATTTACCCGAATACTTTTATTCAATTAATTACAAAGTCTAAAGCTCAAAATAAATGTTGAAATACTTTATAGACCTTGCACCTTCTCAAGATTCTGCGAATTGTATACAAGTAGATAAATCAATTTACAATGGAATGAATCTGCAAACTCCCCATGAATTAGTTGTGAGAAATGAAAAAGGAGAAAGGATTTATGGAACTCCGAACACCGGACCTAGATTCTGTTTAACTTGCAATAGGAATAATACGATGAATGTTTGTTTTTATGTTTAACTATTTTAAATATTTATTTAAGATTAATGGTATATACTCTCGAAATGATTGTGTTGAAAAAAATAACCCCGATCCAAAATGTTTACATCATACATGTTTTTATTGCAAGGTAAAAATTTAAACGAAAATTGCAAAAATATTTTTGGAGTTGATACGATTAGATTATTCAGTAAATTAATATTAAAATTCGAATTTTAAACTCAAGTATCGATATCTTTTGTATATCAATCTCGATAACCTAGATCTATGTTCGAGATCTTGTTGAGCATGGTCTCATGTTAAACTAGCAATGAGGACTAGTTATATTGATCCCAAAAAGACATTGTTAAATTAAATTTAAAAAATTAAAATAAAAATTTAGACTGTAGATGGTTCCAATGAAGCAAATTGGTATTGGGAAAATCCGGAAGGTGATTGGATTATTGTCTCTCTTATGGACTGTTACCCAAATAGAGGATTAAATAAAGAAAATTAAACTCAAGATAAAAGTAATAAAATAAATTTGTTATAATTAAGGCGTGTCAAAACATGCAAATGCATATTTTGCATGCGAATATGCCATGACCTGAAACGCTCAAAAGTGGTGTTTTACGTCGATATGAACAATAGGGACCCGGTTTTAATGATATTTTTGATATTTCGACCCTCTCGTGCATATTAGCATATCTGAGCATATTTTGGCAAATTTTACATATTTTTACGAAAATTTGTGCATATTTTGGAATTTTTATGAGTAATTTGTAGTTAAAAATTATTTTTTGGAAAAATATAAAAATATTTTCAAAAATTTTCTTCAGAAAAATTGTGTAAAATTTTTTGTAAAAAATTTCTTCGGCAAAAATTTATTCAAATTATTTTTAGAAACAAATTAATAACTAAAAATGATTAAATTTATATGTTATTCTTAGTGCCTAAATTAATTTTTAAACATTTTATTTCTTGAATTCACATTTTTTGAGTAAATTTAGTCAATTTTGAAAGTGCGCCAGAACAGTAAGGTCTGAAAGCATAACTTAATACATTTTTGGAAATCTATTTAGATATTTAAAATTATGTATAATTCAAAAAATAAAAAACTCTCTTTCACACATATTTTTTAAATAAAAGGTTGTAAAATAAATTAACAGGCATAAAACAGCTAAAAATATACTTTTAAATAAGTCAAAAATACTTTTAAATAAGAAGTTCGTTTTTGACAAATTAAAAAGTATTTCACATTTTCCTCTCAAATTCTACAATTAATTTTTCATTATTTTTATTTTAAATTGAAAAGGTACTCCATATTTCCACTCAGCGTTGCAAAATGAAAATTTAACATTTGGATTATGTTTATTGGTGATTTGGTATTTTGTATATTTTACACCATTGAAATGCTTAATTTGAACATTTTTTCCTCTTTCTTTTAATACAAAATTTGAGGCAGATAAATATTCTAACATAATAACAGGCACCATTTTTGAACAGTTTGTCGTTGTTCTTATATACTAAAATTTAAATTTAATCTGTGAGAAATAATGAAAGTCTTAAAGGTGTAATATCAGCATCTTCTCTCTTAATTAGGGCTGGCCCTTCTAATTAACATTTAACAGCATATAACAAGGAATAAAAGTCAAAAGAAAAATTCTCGATTATTTTTTCAGACAAATCTGGCAATTCAAGGGGACCGCAGAAGTTACCTTTATACGGAAAAGACAGCTAGTTATATATCTAGCATATCTGTAAATAGATAACTTACTTCAAAAAGAAGATCATAAAGCTTTGACAAACTATAACTTCTGAAACTATTGATACAAACTTGAAATAATTTATTGCCTTCATTTATTAAAATATTAAATAAAATATCTATATATTTCTTTGAAATGTTATACTCATCAAAAGCGATTTTGAGAGATTCGGAAATCGTTAAATGATTTATAATAAATTCGGAAATATTTTCAAATATATTAGTGTTGGCATCTAGAGACAGTTTTTGAATGTTAAATTGAAGAGGAATTGTTTTGTCGTTATCAAATAATAAATTAATTAATTCTGGATTAAATACAATTGTATTAAAGTCGGCATATTCAAAACCACAATTAAAGAGATGTTCTAACCAACACCGAATAGTAATCATTTCTGATATATTTTTTGGAAAGTTGGGCAATTTTAAATAATAAGAACAAAGCTTATTGTCTTTTTTATTTGATTTTTTATATTGAAAATAATTTAGAAAATATTCCAGAAAATTTGAGATGAAATTATCGTTTGTTGTCTGACTTTTAGTAATAAACTCTTTATTATACAAATTAATAGCGAATTCGTTGTGAGATCCAAAATCATGTAAAAACAAAGGAATTGATTTATTTATCGCTGTTTGCCACTGAATAAATTAATTATTATTTAATTAATTAAAAATTAATTTGACATTCTCGAGGAGATCATCATTCAAAGCAAATGGAAATACTCCAGCCTCAAGTTCAATGGTTTTATAGTTTGCCATTCTATTGAGAAATGTGACGTCGACCTTAAATAAATGAAATAGAATAACCAATAGTAAAAGAGATGTAAAGGTTATTTTGCCCCGAAAACTCATCGGTCAAACGATCTCATGTAAGTTATTGCTAGAAGCTTTGCTCATCACTTAGGTACTTTAACGATAGACTACCGGGTAAAAAAGTATCACCTTTATCCTTTAAATAATTTTATATTTACTATTGAGAGTTTATCAAATTTCATTCTTGCTAATTCTGCCCAAAATTTATTAATTAAATTTCGAAAGTAAAAATTTGTTTTATTAAAAGAGACTAATTGATTTAAATTAAGACATTTTAATATATCTAGTTGAACTTCAATTGGTAGAGAATACATTTTTAATTATCTTAAAAATATACTAATTATTTTAGATAAATAAATTATAACTGTGAGGCAAATACTAAGGAATTAATAAAAAGTGCAGGTCACAAATGAAGCAATGCTTGAAGAGGTCCTGTAGCGGTAGTTTATACGAAGAAATGGTTAGCGTACAAAATTGTTTAGTCTCCCCTTTAAACTCAATAAACCATCCTATGCAAATTTATAATGTAAAATATTAAGTTTCGATTCGTTCTCCAAGTTATAATATTTTTTGTTCTTTCCTAGTTTGGAATAAAATGAAAGTAATTCTCCTTGCAGCAATATTTTCTCCCCAAACACTCGATAAAAATGATGCCAAGCTATTCATATTCAATAGTTGAGCAATAAAGAAAGCTAAATAGTCCTTATGGCGTTGGAACAATTATGTATATACCATCTAAAATTTTCTTAGCTTATTAATTTTTTCTATAGTTATTTTGAAAATTTAAGTTGGAACCTTGTTTCCACAATAAACCTGCGCTTTCTAATTTTAAATAATAAATTTAAGAAATAAAATTTGTATTAAAATTAAAAATGTATTCACTACCACCTGAAGTTCAACTTGATGTTTTAAAATGTCTCAATTTCAACCAATTAGCCTTTGTCAAACAAACCAATTTTTATTTCAAAAATTTAATTAATAAATGTCAGAATATATTGGCACGAGTAAAATTTAAAAAACTCGAAATAGTAAATGCCTATTTATATTTTTTAATTTAAACGAATTTTAGATTGATATTAACTCTCCTTATTCTAGTAGCTTGAAACATAAGATTATTGAACCTAAATCCGGAATTTTTGAAATTAATTTGAATAATCGACTTAAGAAGAAGGTTAAAGTGATTTTTATATAACTAATTTACATTTGTTTTCTCAGTGGCAAGCAGCAATAGATGAATCAGTTCCTTTGTTTTTACATGATTTTGGATTTGGCAGAGACTTTGTTATTCGTATAGGTTTAAAAGTGTTATAAAAATTGTAATAAATTAATATAAATTTTAAACTTTGAAACGGTTTATTTATAAAATGGGACAGCCAAACGGTCTTAATGCTGGTCCCAAAATAAAATTAACTCTCTGATTTTTAATAAAAATAAGCAGTAGCCTTCAATTTAATTCTCTTTTCTAAATCATTTATAAATTTAGTTGACAAAGAACGTTATATTTTAAAATTTCCAAATATTCCAAAAAATCTAAAAGAATTGATTATTATTCGCTTTTGGCTGAAACAACTTTTTGAATGCGTCTTTGAACGTGCTTGTTTTAAGAAAATTGTATTTAATCCAGAAATGATTAATTTATTATTTGATAACGACAAAACAATTCCTTTACAATTTCACATTCAAAAACCCTTTATATCTATTGACAATAATATAATTAAAGATATTTTTAAATTCGCTGATAATTATTTGGCAGTTTCTGAAACTCTTAGTATTTTCGATAATGGCAGTTCAGAGAAACATACAAATATTTTATTCAATATTTTAAAAAATGAAGGCAAAAAAATTCCAAAAATTCGTTTCTTTGGACTTAGAACAACAAGGCTTCATGATCTTTTTGTTAATGTGAGTGAGTATATACCGGGGATCTAGCCGACATAAAAATTAAATTCCCGATTTTCGGGAATCGGGTCGGCTAGATCCCTGGCATATACAGTGGCGGCCTTTTACTTAGGGAAAATTTTCTTTTCTGTTTTACACTATGTTTTCTTTTGCCTTTTTTATAGGCCTAGTCTAATGCAAAATTTTCCCTGGACAAGTTTATAACATTTAACAGGTAACATAAAATGACTATCATTATAATTCACTTAACAATTTATAATGGCCATAGAAAACTTAGAGCAAAATTTAAAAAAAATTCCTGTAAAAGGGCAGCGCCAATTAGCCAATTTAGCGGCTCAATCATTTTACTAATCACTTTTATTTGAATTTATAATAATGTTACACAGCTAATTTAATTTAAAAAGGATAACATAATATTAATATAAAATTTAGTATATAACAACATCGACGGAAGTAAACAGTTCAAGAATTGTAGCTGCTATTGACTATCATTATAATTCGCTCAACAATTTTGAATTGAACGAGAAAGCAGAAAATGTTGAAATTGATCTATTAAATTACATATACTATACAAAATACCAACTTACCAATATTCACAATCCAGAAGTGAGATTTTCATTTTGCTATGAAGCAATGAAAGATGATACTATTTATCTAATTCAAATCAGAAAAATGAAAGAGGAATAAATTTTTTTATTAAATTGTTTTTTAATATAGGGAATTTGATTATAAATCCACATATTAGTGAGGACTTCACTTTACACTAAATAAAATCCAAAAATCAAGTTTTCTATTATAATAAATAAATGTATGATGGAGGTTTTGATGTTGAAGTTAAAAAAGTAATTAATGATTATTAATTTCCGCGTTGATTTCATTTATTTCTTAATGTCAGTTTTGACATTAAGAGATAAAAAAATGTTCACTGGTCCCAATCGTCAGCTTAGCCCCACTTTTCCACCCTCCAAATCTCCGGACAACGTTGAGAATATAGCTTGAAAAATAATATTTATCAAAAAAACAAAAAGAACACATTTAAAACAAATTTTTAAGATGTTAATGAATAATATTATAAATCATTTCTCTTAATATTAATTTCATAAACTGGCTCATTGTTATGGTTTTGATCAATACAATCAATATTGATTTCCTTATTGTAGGTTGAAGAACTGTATTTGTTAGAAACCTGATCATTTGTAGATTTTAGTTCGTGGAGAGGTCCAATAAAACCACAGAATTTAATTTCCTTCACTGTTTTTGAAATGTTTTTTGATGTTTCTATATGCTAAATTAAATAATTTTTTAATAAATGATTCGGGAATCAGGATTTCCGAAAACTAGTCAATTCGATTTTTAGGGATTAATCAATCTATAAATCGGTTAAAACTAGAGCCCGGACCGTACCGTACTACGGCCGTATTTTTCAGTATTTATCGGTATTCCGTATCGTAGTACGATACGGAATACCGACCGATAAAATTTTCAAGTTTATCGGTATTTATCGGTATCGGTATTTTTCGGTATTCCGTATCGGTAATACGGTACGGAAAAACTAAAATACCGATAATACCGACCGATGAAATTTTTCAAAATTTTATTATATTTTAAGGTAAAAAAGGCTTCTTGTCGATGAAAATTCTAAAAAATTTTTGCCTGCGGCGCTATAATAGGATGAAATTCATCTTCTTGGACTTCCAAATTCTCAAGATTTGGAAGTCAAAATTTCAAAATCAGAAAAAGTAAGATATCTTTTTCCACAGCTATATTTTTAAATCTTCTTAATCCCATTAATCCACTTATATCCACAATAATCAGCATATCTCCTGATCAACTATAATAGTACAAATTTATCGATATTACCCTTAACACCATATACCTCCTTAATCACTCAAAATCTACCTATATCCCTCTAACTACTCAGATATCCCTTCAAATTCATATTAATCCCTGCGAATACCCAATATACGACTTTATCCTTACAAATTTTTATATAAAAATAATTAATTTTTACTGAATTAATTTTTTAAAAATACGGTACGGAATACCGATCGATTTTTATCGGTATTTATCGGTATCGGTATTTTTCGGTATTCCGTATCGGTAATACGGTACGGAAGAATTTTGAAATTCATCGGTATTTATCGGTATCGGTATTATACGGTAGTACGGTACGGAATACGGTACGGTACGAAATTCCGGGCTCTAGTTAAAACCTAGTCGAACAAGGATAGATAGGGCCTGCGATTACGGGTTTATAGTTTTGGTACTCTTGTATTATCCGCCGCCATTTTCCTTTTTTCCGAATTTGATCAGCTATGACTTTTTATGCTTGATCAAACCCGAATATCATTCACAGTTTATATTTAGTATGAGTTTCGATTTTCAGGAATTGATTTACCTGTATAATAAGGTCATGAATTAAGGTGTTATAAATACAGCAAACTGTTGAGAATTTATTTGCACCATTTGTTAAAATTTTGATTATATTTTGCTGTTTCCCAGAATAAATCGTTAATTTATTAGAAATCAGATGATTCAATGCAAATTTTTCAAAGTCATTGTTGGAAAGAAATATAAAAGCTTTTTCAGAATGAATTTGCAAATTTATATTTGTTTTATTTTCAGCAAATAATAATTTAATCATTTGTGGATTGAATATAGCTTTAAGAAAACTAGCAGTTTCAAAGGCGCATTTAAAAAGTTGATCAAGTAAGTACCGAGCAATTTTCATTTCTTCAATATTTTTTGGAAAATTTGGGAGTATTGAGCAGAACACTAAATATAATTTAATGAGTAAGCTTAAAAGAATATACTTGCATGTTACTAATCTTTATAGGGTGGGCAATGATAGATTAAGGTGGATACTCTTGGGGTTTTTATCAAGTCTTCACTACACGTTGGTCTAATGTCAGCGTCGTTACGCTCGACAATTTTGAGACAAATATGGAGTGTAGTTTAGCCTAAATTTTTTAAAAATTATACAAGGCGACTGCCATCTGTATTTCAACTAAAACACGGACTGGGGGGGGGGGGGGGTAGGTACCCAAGTGACACCTATCCTAATCTAACGATCTCATTCAATTTTAATTATTTATATGTAGCTTTAAATAATTAAATTACCTCGTTCCGATCTATAAATAGCAATATGTATGCTTCTTTCATCAACACTTAAAAACATAGGAATTGATTTTTCTATTCCTTTTATCCACTAAAAACTATTTAATTTAAAATAAAAATATTAATTTTAACCTTTTTCTCAAGATGTTTACTCAATTGAAATTCAAAATGATTTGGGTTTGGCTTAATAATTTTAGTAGAACGCATAAAGCTATTATGACTATAATGCTAAAAAATTCAAATTAGTAGAATAAATTAATAAACTACAATCTCGAGTCTATCGAATTTTTTCCGTGCCAGTTCTTCCTCATATTTATTAATAAAATTTCTGAAGTAAAGATTTGTCTGTTGCATAGATAATAATTGATTGAATTTCAAATATTTAAATATATCAAGTTGAACTTCAGATGGAAGTATATACATTTTTAATGTACAGGGTGCGGCAAATTAAGCGCGCGTTTATTTTTTGCCATAACTTTCTTCAATTTTAATGAAAATTGATAATTCTTTTTTTGTTTTATTCCCAACACTTTAGGAAACTTGCCGATACCAAAATTGCTTTTTAATTTTAAGTTTACTCTGAGTAAACTTCCCTCAAAGTTTGAGCAGAATTTTTTGGATAAAAATTGGCCTAGATTCAAGGCTGGGATTTTAATATTGGATTTGTTTATATCATTCGAATCAGCTCTTCATTCTGATTCGAATGACATAAAAATCATGGGGCTACGACAAAACTCGAATGAGATACGGTCCTCTGAATATAAATTAAAATAATTTTTATAAAAATAAAATTTTTGTGTAAAATTTTCAAAAATGAGATTATAAGCTATTTCGATGCTCCTGAACGAGATGAGTCGTTTAGTACCAAAATCATTGGTATTGAACGATTTTGAACGAAGTTATGATCAATTAAACTTTGGCATAAAAAATGTTTTTAAATTTTCCAGACGATCGAACTCGATTATCTTTGCCAACAGTGAACCAAATTTTTAATGTTTGGTATCAGCAAGTTTCCTAACGTGTTGGGAATAAAACAAAAAAAGAATTATCAATTTTCATTAAAATTGAAGAAAGTTATGGCAAAAAACAAACGCGCGCTTAATTTGCCGCACCCTGTAAATTTTTTTTAATTAATAAACTAAAATTCTAAAATAATCGCAATATCATTATCAAAAATAAATAAGAGAAAAAGTATAAATATTAGACAAATCTAATAAGAAATGTTATTTTTGGCAATACGAAATTTAATCTGGATTGTGTATGACATTGATCCATACTTATGTCTACTCCACCTATTCAAATTATGACATCTTATATCAACTCGTTTTTGTAGAAGTTTAATATACTTTATTTATTGATTGACCGGTAAAATCGATTTTTCCGGAACAGGATTTGCAACTAGAGCCGGACCGGATGGCCAGACGGACCGGATGGCCGGCCCGGTCACTAATTTTAATCAATCTTTAATTAATTTCTAGACTCAATTGGGTAGTATGTTTTTATAGTCTGGTTAATCGAAAATCTCATCTGCTAATTCCACGTCAGGAATTCCAAGTTCGGAAGAAACTTTCAGAAAATTTTAAAAATAATTGTTACGAGATTAGTCTTTTAAAATTTCATGCGTTTATATATTCTCGTTCAAATTTTATATTTATTTCCAGACTAAAAAGTTGATATAAAAATGAATCTTCTTTTACAAGAAATTCAGCTAGATATATTTAAATATCTTGATTTCGCTCAATTATTAAATATTCAGAAAATAAATCGTTACTTCAAAAATTTGATAAATAAGCGTCAGGATAAATTGGCATTGATGGAATTAATTAAACTCGAAATTGTATATTTAGTTTTTAAAATTTTTTTAAAAATTTTCTGAAGCTTTCGATCAAGAAGAACAGTTTAAATACTCCTAAATTTGTTAAACCAGTCCCTAAACTTTATGACTTTCAATTATGTGAAGAACTTGAAAAGAAGGTTTTTATATTTTTATTTTAAATTAAGTAAATTTTAGTGGATAAGTGGAATAGAAAAATCAATTCCTATGTTTTTGGGTTATGGTGTTAAGGACGTAAATCTCGTTATTTTTGTATTGTAACAGTGTTTTGAATTCAGACAAGGTTAATTTATTCGAGGCTATAATCAGCGTTCTAGGAGATAGTCTAAAGATTTCTTGGCAAATTTCCAGTAAATTTAGCTAGCATTAAGCTTCCCAAAATATGTTTTCAATTTTGATAAAAAAATTTCTCCTCATTTTCATGTAAATTTCTTAGATTAGTATAATTTGTGTCCAGAATCCGTGAAAAAATTTTTGCAGAAGCCTTTTACTTAAAACTTTCTTTTCCAAGCTGAAGATTATTTTTAATCAAGATTCTATTCAGAATTCTATTTACAATTTCCAATCATTCCAAAAAATATTGAAGAAATGAGAAATGCTCGATATTTATTTGAACAACTTTTTAGACGTAACATTGTTTGTTTTGAATTGCATCAATATATATTTAACCCACAAATGATAGAATTATTGTTTGATAAAAAAACGAATCTACCTTTACAACTTCATTCACAAAAGTCTAATCTATTTATTTACAAAGATTATTTCCATTCTTGTCTTTTAAATTTTGTATTAAATAATCTAACTTCCAATCAATTTACAATTTATCTCGATGATGCCATCGATATAGGGGAATATCAGGATGTTTTATTTACAATTTTGATAAATGGAGGAAATAAATTTTCTAAAATTTGCTATAGAAATCGCAAATTGTCAGAAATTTATAATTTTATTATACAGGTAATTAGATAATATTGATCATTTTCGAAATCTACTGATATCCTCTCATTACCGATATCCCCCTTTAATGCTACAAATTAACTGATGTCCCCTAAATCCCGCCAAACCCCTCATAACCCTTATTCCACTTAGATACCCTGATAAACTCGTGAAGAAAAAAATTTTGATGATTAAAAGGTAGTAGTCTCAGGGTCAAGAAGCTTTGAGGACCTTGGAAATTATTCAAACAGAAACAAAAATCCTCGGTTATCCGTCTCGGTTACAAATAAAAAATTCCTAGTCATAATTAAAAAATTAACTTAATTTTAGCATATAGAAACATCAAAAGACTTTCCCAAAATGGTTAGGGAAATTCTATTAGGTGATGTTTATGGACGTCTTATGTTAAGTGACAGAGCAGAAAATATTGATATCAACGTTAAAAATTTCACTTTAAAATCTACAAAATATCAACTTTCCAATAAATACAACATTGAAATAAAGTTTTCTGTTTATATTGAAGAGATTTATGTTATTAAAAATCAGCCAATTTCCGATATTGAAATTAAAAGAATTAATTGATAAATTTATTTTTCACTTTAAATTCTTCAGATAAAAAGCTTCTGATAAAAAATTTTCCCGCATCCTCAATAGAGTTCATTAATTGCATAAATTTACTTCCTTCGTTCAAACAAAAGGGAAAAGGAAATGAAAGAAAATGAAATTTCAAATTTATTTTTAAATTCTTAGATTAAATTATAATCTGTTAAAAAATTGAAACTAGTTTAAGAAAAATTTTTAGATGAAATGCCAATTTAGGTTATAAATCTCAAAATATTCAAAAATCACAAAACTTGTTCTTAATGTTATAAAATTTATTTCAAAAATTTATAAAAACAAATGTTTAGCAAAAGGACAAATTTAATATTTATAAAGTAATCGTTGACATGTATATCAAAATAAATAAAATTTTCAATTAATTCTTTTAATTCCAGCATTAAAATATGGCTCATCGTCGCACTCATGAAAATAAATAGAAAACTTCATTTGTGGATTGTATTTATTGGAAAGCTGATATTCTTTGGATTTAAGTATGTAATCTCCAACTTCCCTTTTAAAATTTTCTGCTCTTTTACTTATCAGAAAATCTCCACGAAAATTATCCAATCTAATTTCTTTTACCATTTTCGAGAGATCCTTTGCTGTTTCTATATGCTGAAATTTAATTTTTATAAATGCTCTAATTAGAGAAATTTGAAATGGCCAATCAAAAGATTATGCGTCTAAAAAATTTTTATGCATCCAATCATATTTTTGTGTTTAATCCAGACCTGGTCACGGATACAGATAATATAAAAATGCCTGCGGATATCCGCCTGTATCCGTGACTAGGTCTGGTTTAATCTATGTCAATTTTTATTTTTGCGCGTGAGTACCATAAAAGCGAGCAGACATGAAAAACGGCTACTTTCGCATAGATTAGACACATAAAAAGCGAATAAGTTTCGGAAGAAAGGGAATAAGTCTTCGTGACCTTTTCATACTTCAACGAAATCGCGGACTAGGGGGGGGGGGGTAAGTACAAAAATTTTATTAGACGCATAAGCTCTTCAATGGACGCGTAAACGTAGATAAAAACGTAGACATTAGCCAAAAATAATTTAAAATTGCCTGAATAATTAGATTGTAAAGTCTTGAGTTGCAAAACTCATAACAGACAAAAGAAAATTTATTTCCTCCATTTGTCAAGATTTTTAATAAATTATTTGTAGATTGTTCATTATTGGAGAGTGTAAGTTTAATTGTTAATGCATAGGAATTGAGATTATTTAATATAAATTTTAAAAACCAATCATTAATCTCCAAGCAAATATACAGTTTAGCAATTTGTGAATGAATTTGTAGAGGTAGATTTGTTTTATTTTCATCAAATAATAATTCGATCATTTGTGGATTAAATATAATGGTGACGAAATGAAAATAATGAAAAGTTAGATTAAAAATCTGTTGAAATACACAACGAGCAATTTTCATTTCTTTAATATTTTTTAGAAAATTTGGTAAATAGAAATAGATATCTAAATAATAAAAATTAGAAAAATATGTAATTTTTTGCTGTAGGAAAGGACTTCAGAATGGGTCCAATTTTAGAAGGTCATACACAAGAGATCAACTCCTTATTGTCAAATGACCCAGAGTCGACTTCCAAATGTCAACTCCAAATATTTGTGGTTTTGTTTTGTTTGTAATTTTGTCGAGGGTACGCTCCAAACCGGGTAAAGAAACAAATCCTTCTTAATCTAACCAGAAACATCGTTATCCACCGGTTCGGTACTAGACTTATACGAAATTTTTTTTCATAAAATTTCGTAAAATTGAAAAACCAATGCTTTATTTATAAAAATTTTCCGGGAGGATTACGGCCTAAAATAAATAATAACCTTCTCCACATACGTGACGTAGTTCCATTACAACAGAAAAATTATTTTTTACACCATCATTATTCAAAAACAAAGGAATTGAATTTTCTATTCCACATTTCCACTAAAATTTGGTTATTTTTAAATAAAAACATTAATTTTTACCTTATTCTCAAGTTCTTCACTTATTTCAATGTCATAAAGTTGGGGTTCTAATATATTAAACTTATATTTTTTTGAATCATACATACACTGCGGTGCACATGTTTATGCACACTAGTTTTTTGTTCATAAGTTTATGCACACTTATTCAAAAAATATGTTCTATATGGCAATCGAAAGCTCTATCTGTATCTCAGTTGACATGTTTCTGCATTTTTCGAAATTCTGATATTTTCGAAAACTTTTCGACCGGTCTAACAGGTACTACATTTTCAACTTTTCGAAGAAATTTTTTTGAGGTCTGTAAAAAATATATGTGATTCTCCTCTAGATTCTACATATAATACAAAAAAATCATCCAAACCGGTCGAGATTCGACCGAGTTATGAATTTTTGAAAATCGAAAAAATACCATTTTTTTCCATTTTTCGTCAAAAAATCGCGTTTTTTTCGATATTCAAAAAATCATATCTCCGTTCCGGAAAAAGATATTTCTAAGCGGTTTTGTGGTAAATACTCACAAAAATATGCTTTAGCAAATGAATTTGTTAAATTTTTTCCGAAAAATTTTTCCGAGGATATGGGATTTGGTATATCCGGTAGATCCGGATTATCTCGGCCAATTTTCATTTTCATGGAAAATGCAGAAACATGTCAACTGAGATACAAATAGAGCTTTCGATTGCTATATAGAACGTATTTTTTGAATAAGATTGCATAAAATTATGAACAAAAAACTAGTGTGCATAAACATATGCACCGCAGTGTATTGTAGTAAAACTAAAAATTACTAAAATTATGAGGATTTTGTAAAAGGATTTTTTTCTATTTTTTGTAGATTTTAGAACAAAAAGTCATTTTTCTCTTCTAGATTTTCTGAATTTTTCCTGAAATTTTTCCTGAATTTTCCTGAAATTTTCGCCTGCGGCGCTGAATTAATAAGAAAAAAATGCAATCTCCGGATATCATTTTTTGGATGTTTATAAGATGAGCAATAGTCATAAAATTTTCCTCAATTCAATTTTTGTTTTTGATATCGCCTGCGATGCAAAAAAGATTGCGGATTTTTCATTTTTCAGATAAATTTTTAGCTCAGAAATGCTGATTTTTAAAAATTACAATTTGAAAACTCTCTAATATCATTGCTAATTCGTTTTTAAATTTATTAATAAAGTGTGAGTAATATAGATTTGTCTGTTGAACATTTAATAATTGGTTAAAATTTAAACATTTAAGTATATCTAGTTTAACTTCTGGTGGAAGCTGATTCATTTTTATTTAAGTTTTTTCTGAAAAAATAATAAAAATATTCTCAAAAAAATATTATTGTAAATATTTAACTGACTTAAAAATCTGGAAAATTTTTTTTAATTTTAGTTTTTATGTGAATGCAATAAAAAATTCAGTTACTTAAATATTACTTTTCTAATATGCCCCCAACCTTTTCTTTTATTCTCAAAATTAATCTTGTTTTCTAACAATAAAAGGGAAAGATTCGAAAGAATTATGTACTAGGCATAGAATGTATAATTTAAAGAAATTTATGTAAGAGGTAATTTGAATGGGTTTAGCCTAGAAAAAAGATTAAAAACAGTTCTCTTCTGTTATTTTTTCTTTTATTTGAAGAAGAAAGGAAGAAATATTTAAAAGATAGCTTGAAAGAATTCTTTGATAATTATAGGGTGACACGACTCGGCACAGTGATCCAATTTCATAGTAATTTGTGGTTAAGTGGATTTGTGT